CAAGGATTCAGGCTGGAGTGTGCACAGAGTCCAGGCAGGAGGCTGCTCACTGGCTCTCTGACTGGTCCTTTCTTAAACAGCCCAGGCCTGGCTGACTCAGGCGATACTGCCCCACTGCGGGGCCTCCCATAGCAATCATCCGTCAAGACAAAGAGGCAACCATTCTGATCCGGGCAGTACCTCCACTGAGATTCCCTCTTCACAGGTGGTAAAAAGTAATGGGGGCGGGGGCAGGAGAGATGGCTCAGAGGTTAAGAGCACTGACTGTTCTTCCAGAGGTCCTGAGTTCAATTCCCAGCAACCACATGGTGGCTCACAGCCATCTATAATGAGATCTGGTGCCCTCTTCCGGCATGCAAGCATACATGGAAGGAATGTTGTACACATAGTAAATAAAATCTTAAGAAAAAAAGTAACTGGGACACTAACCCTGGAATTTTTATAGATGGTCACACGGTAATGCATACCAGAACTTTCTGGAAGCAAAGTCCATTCCTGGGGCATCACTGTTCTCTCATGAGTATTCTCCGCTGTTAGGTGAGAGTTGCCCAGAAGCCCCTGCCTCTGCGGATCTTTGTCCTGTGGTAACTGAATGGCTCTCTGTGGAGGGCCCACTGTTATTTATTTACTATTTAGTTTGTGGTGTTTTGTTGATATTGTTTGTTTTTTGAGACAGGGTCTCTCAATGTAGTTCTGGCAGCACGGAAACTCACTGCATAGACGAGGCTGGCCTCAAACCCAGATCTGTAAATCCACCTGCCTCTGCCTCCTGAGTGCTGGGATTAAAGGCGTGCGCCACCACACTGCCTGGCCCAGCTCACCCCTTTCAAGTGTCATATATTAGATGTTTTTTTCATTTAAAGTGGTTTTGGTGTTAAAATACAGCACTGGTTAAAGCTCTGCTCAAATAAGCTTCACACTGTGAAGATTTTTCACTTGGACCGGCTTAATGAAAAGCTGTATGGCCAATAGCTAGGCAGGATTTTCAGGGCAGAGAGGACACTGGGAAGAAGGCGGAGATGAGCAGAGACAGAACAAGCAACATGGGCGTTACAAAGGAAAGGTACAAGGCAGGAAGTAAGTGAATAGAAATGGGTTAATTTCAGTTGTAAGAGCTAGTTAGAGACAAGCCTAAGCTATCGGCTTTAATAATTATGAGTCTCCGTGTCATTCATGATTTGGAAGCTGGAGGGCAGGACAGAGAAAGACTTATTATAGTAATATCCTCCCCACTCCCCCAGTTTCACCATGTAGCCCTGATTGGCCTGGAACAGGCTGGCTTCAAACTCAGAGATCCTGCCCCACCTCCCAAGAGCTGGTATTAAGGTTATTCGACACCTTGCCTAGCTTCCATAAGCTCCAATTTTACCTCTAACTTCCTGTTGCAACTCACCTCCTTCAAACAAGTAATAATGCGCACTCCCACTCACAAAGGAAGCATTATGAGCAGCTAAGGGTAGAAGATATTCCAAAGTATGTCCTGCTTAATGACCTAAAGAGAAACCCCAAGTATTGTCTATGTCCATCAGCACACTTCTCAGGGAGGCAGAACATTAATTATTAATAAACTTACTACTAGATCAACTGCTTTTAGTAGTATACACTGTTACCAATATCTCCCCACGGGTCCACTGCACCTTGTCATGGGTGGTGGGACACAGTGGGAAGCAGGCAGCTGGAAGGTGAGGCTCGGACCTAGCAAACGACAAAACAGCCCCACTCTCTGAAGGCTGTGTGAGCGTATATTGTTGTGCAAGTGACACTTACAGCTGATCTGTTTCTCTTCAGCTCATGAAAAGGGTGACAGGTAGCCGGCACAAATAGAAAAAAAAACTTAGAGTTTAGCTTATAGCACTGAATGCAACACAGGTTTTGTTAAGTCAGCACAAGAGCTGGAGAGATGGCTCAGGAGTTAAGAGCAACTGCTGCTCTTCCAGAGGGATCCGGGTTCCGCTCTCAGCATCCACGGGAGACAGCTCACAACCTCCTGTAACTCCAGCTCCAGGGGGAGCCCTTGCCCTCTTCTGGCCTTAGGGACACCTGCATTCACATGCACATACACATAACTTTAAAAACAAAAGAATGAATCTAGGCCTAGTGGCTCAAGACATTAATCACAGCAAAAAGGAGGCAGAGGCAAACGAATCCCTGTGAGTTCAAGGCCTGTCTGGTACACATAGTGAATTAAAAGAAAAAAAAAAAGCCAGGGCTATATACTGCAAACCCGTCTCAAAAGAAGGGGGGGGGAGCGTTAGAGAATTACAAAAATGTCTGACACAGAGGGTGCTCAACACTGCTGCTATTGCAAATGGTTCTGTTCTCTTTGCTTCTCAGTCACCCACGCAGTCTCTTCCCAACGACAGCCCCCATCAGTGAAGCCCGTGACAGAAGAGGCCATAGCTCCCAGCCCCCGGCTCTCGGTCTCGGTTGCAGGGTAGAGAGAGGGTGACTCTGCCAGTGACATCTTCCAGGCCCTTTCCTCTTACCAAGAGGCAGGGCCGATGGAGCCGCCACCACTGGGCGGCGTCTCGGTCGCAAAGAGAGTCTGCACAGGCGTGCTGGGGTGGACTGTGTGTGTTGGTGTGTGTGTGTGTGTGTGTGTATGTATGTGTGTGTGTTGTGTGTGGGGGGGTCTGTTTGTTGGTGTGTGTGTTGTGTGTGGGGGGGGTCCAGGAACAAACCCTCCCCACCCCCGCCCCCTGCGATCGCCAAGTGTGGAATTCTGGAACAATCCATCAAAACACCGTCTCAATCCCCTCCACTCCCCCAAGTGCGACCAGAAACAGGTTCCGCCCTTTCGGAAAGTGAGAGCAGGCTCTGGCCGAACGAGCAGCGCACGCACCTCTTTTGAGTTTTCTCCGCCATCATCAGACCCGGAACTCGGGAAGAGCCGAGATCGACCCTGTTGCCTGGCTAGAGCGATGATCTCTACATCCGATTGCAGAGCCTGGCTCGGCTGGTGGGGCGGGGCCTGAGAGACCGGCTCGCGCTTGCGCACCGCGGATGGTTTGCTTTTGCCCGAGTGGGCTTGGCTTGTTGCACTCCAGTAGATGAAATCCACGCGCAGATTCTGCTGGCTTATCTCCCGGGAAATCGTTCTTCACTTGGCAGTGTTTACTCCAAGTCTGATCAAACCCCGGATGCTTGTTCTACCTTTAGTGTCTATATTCCCGTTCCCAAGTCTCCTCCCTACGCCTTAACCAGGACAAGACACCGAGCTAACTCTCCACCTCTGACTACTGCTATTCACTAGAAGATAGTGGCCTCTTCTAGTCCAGTGGTCCTCAACCTTCCTAATGCTACGACCCTTTAATACAGTTCCTCATGTCGTGGTGACCTCCAGCCATATAATTACTTTCGTCGCTACTTTATAGCTGTAATTTTACTACGGTTAGGAATCGTAATGTAAATCTCTGTATTTTCCGATGGTCTTTAGGCGATCCCTGTCATTCAACCTCCCAAAGGGGTTGTAACCCACAGGTCAATAACCACTGTTCTAATCCTTCAAGTTCCAGATGGCACAGACAGGATTCATTCTGAGAAACAATCAACAGAAGATATGAATCATGACGGTTTTGCAAGGAGTTAGTTTCTTCGGGACTTGCTGCGCAAGAGCAAAACCTGTCCATCGAGCTGGGACTTTACATTTGGATGTCTAAATTGCTGCCCCAAAGTGGGATCCTCCCCCGCAACTCCAAACTTCGGTGCTATCCGGAAGGTCTTTAATCGATTGAATCAGGCCCACCCAGATTATCTGGGAGAATTAGTATTTTGGCTGTAGAAGTGGATCCTGCTCCACGTGGATCAAAGGTTGGAGAATTCAAGTCTATTCCTTCTATCATGTTAATGAAGTCTGTTGCCTCCTCCTCCCCTTTTGGAGTGAAGTGTATAAGCGTGTGGAAGAATAAACCAGGTGAATTCAGCATCCATGTGTTTCTGTCTCTTCTATCTCCTACATCTCTGTTCCTTTTGCCTAATATTTCTAATCCTCATGCTCCTACCCTGGAACGTACGAGTTTTGTCGAAGCTGGCTTTCAGCAGAACTGTCTCCCCCAGAGCTGAGAGTGAGATCCTGAATACTTTTTGTTCTTTCTTTAGCTCCAGAGTGTCTGACGTGTGGTTAACTCCCTCCCTAATGGGTTGAGCCCCACTGTGTAAGGTCAGCCCTGCAATGTCCTGGGCTAAGCAGACCGGTCTCCACTAGCTAAGAGACAGCTTCTCACTCTTGTCTCGCTTTGAGGACATCTCCTCAGCATTACCCATCCCTCAAATAAAATACTCTCTTTAAGTATTTCCTCCCCACAGTTTTTCGTCCTTCAAATCTTAACTCTATAAATGTTTATTTAATACAAAATAGGTTTGTATTCCTATTCTGTGTGCTGGAGATATTGCAATAAATGCAATAGGGTCCTGCCCGTTGTAGAGCTCTCGCTTTGCTTATGAAGGGCAGAAAATAAATTAATCAGGATATAGGTACATGATGAGGGTGGGGAAGGTGCTGTTATGGAAGACAAGGGGCTGTGAGAGATGCAGTTGAGAAGAGGAATCTTGTTTTCTGTCTTGCGGATCTGCCTTCCTTTTGTACTTAGTCCGGACCTGTTTGTCCACAGCAATAGACTTTATTTTCATCAACTTAGTGAAGAAAATATATGACAGTGTGGTGGCTGGAAAGGCAAATAATATGCCACATTGCCCGCGAGGTACAACCTCTGAGAGCGACTTTTCGGTAAACACAGCAAGGTGTGGGAACACCGCAGTGTGATTTGGTTTCCATGGCTCGGCCAGTTATCAGGACCGTTATCAAGTTTACACTGCTTATCGCCAGAGCTTCCCTTTCACCGTGCTCCTTCAGGCCTTTCCGCACCCCGTAAAGAGGCCAGAGACACCGCTCCTTCAGGCCTTTCTGCACCCCGTAAAGAGGCCAGAGAGGGCCCGGCTCTGACTTCTCTTGCAGGAGGGCACAGGGTAGAACTCTAGGAAGGACCGCGTGCTCCAGGTTCATGATGGATTGGCTCTGGATCTTCTTCCTCCATCCCGTATCATTTTATCAAGGGGCTGCTTTCCCCTTTGCACTTCTGTTTAATTATCTCCGCACCGTGGATTCCTTTTCCACCCGGGCCAGGTAGGCGGAATGGTTCATATTGCTTTTCCATCTAGAAGTACAATAATAGGGTAGAAAGCATAGAGTGTTCTCTAAATGAGAAGGCCACCCAACAACTACTCTCATTTTGTTCTTTATGCACGTGTTGTGCTTAGTAGCCTTGCTACCAATCGTTGGCTGCTTGATAACAATTGTCTATAGATTAGCAGTGGTTCTCAGCCTCTCTAACGCTGCAACCCTTTAATAAAATCCCACGTGTTGTGGTGACCCTCACCCATAAAATTATTTGGTTGCTACTTCATAACTAATTTTGCTACTGTTATGAATCATAGTGTAAATATCTGATATGCAGGATATCTGACCTCCGACGGGGGTTGTGATCCACAGGTTGAGAATCTCTGGATTAGCACAAAACTGACTCAGAAATTAACTTCATGTTTACATTGACTCAAAAATGGATAGCTAGGTTTGTGTGAAATGGGAAATGGAGAGACACTGAGATGAGTGATACGGGAAGTCTGGAAATGTCTACCTCTCTGCTGACCACAGATCCTGGTTAGTTTTCAGCAGTCTTAGTTTTGTAGGATTGTGCGTGCCATGAAATTTAACTGTTTGGAAAATACAACTTGTGTATACATTTATAACAAAGTAGGAGTGTTAAAATTTGCCTTTGGTTGGCTTTTTGTTTCTGTTTTTGAGAAATAAATCAAAACAAATCTTGGTAAAGCATAGCTCAGTTTGATCTAAAATTGGTGTCACTGAAGAGACGATTATACATTCTCTTTACGAAGCTCGATGCATTGGAAGCACACTCTGTTTTGAAGAGGACTTAGTGGAAGATCCTCTAAAAAGCCCACAGTCTACTGCCTAAAGCAATAGGCCTTCTAATTTTTCTTATTTAGGAAGCTAAGGTTTTTATTTAGTGGAGCTGTGTGTGTGTCCATGTGTGTGCATGTGTGTCCATGTGTGTGCATGTGTGTGGGTTTCAGGGTGGAACCCAGGAGTGCACATGCTGAAAATGCTCTCTACCGCTAAGCACCGCTTTCTAGACCTAGGGGATCATCTTAAATAAAATATAGCTGCATTTAATATTTGTAATTATTGGGTTTGACTAAATTAGGGTATGTTATCCTGTGTTCATAACTTGTAGATGGTCCTTACCCTTGTTTCTGGGGAATGACGATAGGGGAACAGATTTTTTGTTGTTTATTTTGTTTTTTGTTTTGTCAAACAGGGATTCTCTTTGCAGCCCTAGTTGTTCTGGAACTCACTCTGTAGACCAGGTTGGCATCAAACTCAGAGATCTGCCTGCCTTTGTCTCTTGCATTCTGGGATTAAAAGTATGCACCACTACCACCAGACTTCAGGGGAATCGTTATAAATAAACTTTCTATATTTGAAGACTCACAAAGCATTAGACTGTGGTGAGCTTAAAAGTAAGGGTTAACTCTAGAGCTGAGAGTATCCTTAACTCTTGTCTCATTGAGTTTTTTTTTTAATATTTATTTATTTATTTATTTATTTATTTATTTATTTTGTACATGTGTGTCTGTCTGAGTGTGGCTCTGATGAAAATCACAAGAGGGGCATCAGATCCCCTGGAACTGAAGTTGCAGATGCTTGTGATCCACTCTGTTTGGGTGCTTGGAAAAGAAACCCGGGTCCTCTACGAGAGCATAACCATGCCTAACTACTGAGCCATTTCTCCAGCCCCAAGACTGTTGAGTCTTTTTTTAAAAAATAATTTATTGTAACTTTATGTGCATTGGTGTAAAGCTACAGGCAGTTGTGAGCTGCCATGTGGGTGCTGGGAATTGAACCCAGGTCCTCTGGAAGAGCAGCCAGTGCTCTTAACCGTTGAACCTTCTCTCCAGCCCTGAGTCTTAATTTTCTCAACAAGTTCCTGTATATGGGAATAAGCTTCCTGAGACACTTGTCCTTACTTATAAAATGCAAAAAAAAAAAAAGCCTTGTACCTTGGCCAAGTTCACGTCAGTGCTGAAATGGAGCCCAGAGCCTTGGACATGCTATCAAGGACTCGCTACCAGAGTCACAGCCCTAACCCTTGCCTTTGTCTACTTGTTTGTTTCTGAGGTAGGGTCTCACTGTATACCTCAGGCTGGCCTTGAACTCATGATTGTGTGTTCTCAGCCTCCTCAGTACTGCTCATTACTAGCACAAGGCCTAGAAATGAAATCAAAAGCCCTCAATAAGTTATACATCCTACACTGTAGACACGTGTAGGTATTTGATGTTTATATGTGCACATGGGAGTCATTCTCACTCAAGACACCATACAGAGCAAGTGAAGGCTTAGGTCACAGTGTTAATTGAGGTGACGATGCAGAGGCTCAAAAAGGAAGGCCTACAAATGCTCTGGAACTTTTATGTCACCGAGTTTCTCACACCGAGGCATCTGCTGGTGTCCCAGGAAAGCGTCTGTGGTTGGCATGTGTCTGGCACTGTACCCACACCCCGGGATGTGTGTTTCTGGGTTCCGAGTACTAGAGAAATGCAAGCTTCGATCGCCCACCTCGCTGTGCTTGGCCTAGCCCACTTTGTGGGTATTCTGATGCCTGCCTCCAGCTTTATTCATTTGTCAAAATCAAAATAAAAACCTCCATATAATGCAGAAAGAAGAACCAAGTCCACACAAAATGGACTCTCCCAGACTTTGCACACCTTCCCTGAGGTTTCTGAGCAAGAACTGGGACCTATACTGTTGCTTTGAGGCGGGCACCTTACACTATACTTTTCCTTCCCTGGCTATCTGAAGACTGTTCGCCACCATGGAAGACATGTTGACCACGTGACTACTTCAGTGGCAATGAATCTACACTAGGAAGGCAGCGATACTAAGAAGGAAAACTGGGGGAAACTGACTAAATGGACAAAGCCAGGCCAGATGACTTCTTCCTTTTCTTTCCATCTTTTTGAAACAAGGTTTCACTATATAGTCCAAGGCTTGTCTGGAACTTGCTATAAAGCCCAGGCTGACCCTAGAATTTGTCATTCTCCTGCCTCCATTGCATGAGATGAAGAAGAGAGACTGTGAGGCGGTGGCACAAGGAAGGCGGGAATGAATGAAGAATGGGAGGAAAGAGCAGTCCTCCGCTGGAGAGAAGGACTATTTGGTAATGACTATAGAATTTTCATAAGGAGATCAATAATCTATAGAAACTTAAAATAATCCCAACAACCAAGCAAAGTATGAGCTCCTAAGAGCTAACGTACAGTACTGAGGACGAAGGGCTGACAGAAAGGTTTGCTGCTCATGTGTTCAAATATTTACCTGAGAGAGGCATTGTGTCTCCTCTCTCCAGCTCTCTGAAATAAACGGGGTGATGGACACCTTGTGAGGAGGAAAAGGTCTTTGCTTTGGGGGTGGGGGACTTGCTAGTTCCTCCGCACCCCCCACTTTTGTTCACAGTGCTTCTCAGTTAGATTGTGAGTGGTCCCATCGGTAAGCTGTCTGGGACTGTCATAGTCATTGTTCTGTTGCTGTGGAGAGACACCATGACCAAGGCAAGTCTTAGAAAAGAAAGCATTGAACTGGGGGCTTGCACGGGTTCAAAGGGTTATATAGTCCATTATCAGCCCGTCTGGAAGCATGGTGGCATGGGGCTGAGCTTACATCCTGGATCTACAGGCAGAGAGAGAGAGAGAGAGAGAGAGAGAGAGAGAGAGAGAGAGAGAGAGGCAGACAGATAGACAGACTGGGCCTGCTGTGGGCTTTTGAAACCTCAAAACACACCTCCACTAAGTCCACACTACTCCAACAAAGCCACACCTCCTAACCTTACCCCAAAGTCCCAATAACCGCGGATGAAGCATTCAAACATATGAGCCGATGGGGGGCCATTCTCATTCAAATTACCACAGGCTCTTAGTGGTTACAGTCACTTGTATGACACGCATGCCAGAGTCACCAGGGTCACCAAGGGAGGAAGCAGGACTTGTCTCCTGCGGCGGGAGTTTACAGGGGACGTGCGCTTTATTCCCTTCAGAGCGGATGCCTCGCTGAGGCACAACATGGCTTCTTTACACGTTGTATGAGACTCCTAGGGATGACGACAGTGGAATTCATTGCTGCACTGTCCTAAGCGTCACCTCTGTGATCTCTTCTCTTTCAGGTACCTCTTTCTCCTGGCTGGAGGAGGTGTCCTGGCCTTGGCCGCCATGGGTCCCTATGCTTTGCTCGTCGTCACCCCTGCTCTCTGCGCCGTGGCTCTGGTCTGCTCACTCGGTCCGCGGGAAGTCCATAGGCTGACCTTTGGCTTTCAGATGGGCTGGCAGACCCTGTGCCACCTGGGTCTTCACTACACCGAATACTACCTACAAGAGCCTCCGCCTGTGGGGTAAATACGCCTGTTGGTTCGGTTGCACTGAGCTGACTCTAATCCTTGCGCATCCGCGGAGCATGCTCTTAAGCGATTTAGCTTTTCCCAAGGCGCAGTCTCTTTTCCTAGACAAAGAATAACGGAGTTGGCGATAGCTTTCTTGAAAGGCTGCGGCGGTAGAGATAATCAATGCCAAAGCGGCTCCGTGACTGCACAGAGCCATTCCGTGCTGCTGTCGAGAGACTCAGTTATCTGGCACTTGCTGTAACTGTCATTGTGCCTGGCAGTGATGACAGTTTGCTCGTCTCAGCCTTGGCAGTTTGGGCCCAGGCAAACCACAGAGGGCCTGGCTGCCGCCGTGTGTTTTCTTTACCCCGGCTCAGCTCTTTCATCTCTTCTTCCACCCACAAGAAGTATATCGACCCCATCTAGGGACCAATAAAGAACAAAACTCAAGAGCTAATTACAGACTAGCGATGTGTCATGAGCCAGGGGAGCTGACAAGGTTAGGGGAATGAGTATCTTTGTCTGCGTTCCTGCCCCCTAGTGTTCCTGGCGCCCCGTGGCTGTCTGCTGGCATAGGTCTGTGCCACTCAGGGAATACAGGCTATGACAGCACGGGGCAGGTTCCCTGTCTGGTTCTAAGCTATTAGTTCACTGGAGTTGCCACTCCCACTGCCTCTAGAATCCTTTAAGAATTATTATGACAAACCAGACTTGGTGACACCTGCCTGTAACTCCAGCACAAGGAAGTAGAGGCAGGAGGCTCCAGAGCTCAAGATGATGCTCACGTAGCAAATTGAGAACCAGCCTGGGATGCATAAGGCCTTGTCTCAGAAACAACAAACAACAAAATATGACAGTATTGGCCAAGACTTCAGACTTTGCAGAGAGATGGCGCAGTGGGCAAGAATGCTTGCTGTTTGCTGTGTAGATCTCAGGACCTCAAGAATGCATGGACAAAGCTAGGCATGACTGTGTGTGCACTTGCCACCCCAGCTCTGTGTGTCTGCTGGGGGAGGAGAGGTGACAGGAGGACCATGGGGCCTGATGACAACCACTCCAAGTTCAGTGAGAGATTCTGTATACCAAGGGAATAGGGTAGAGAGTGGTAGAGCGGACACCCATCCCATGTTCTCCCTTGGCCTCCACACATGCATACAACACACACACACAGACACACAGATACAGACACACACAGATACACATAGACACACACAGACATGCACACAGATACACACAGAGTCCATCTCACA